ATCGTTTCACAAGTGAGGAGGGAAGAGGACAATCTCTTAAGCTGACAATCACAAAACATTGTTAATTTGTTCTCACAGAATTCATTCAAGTGTGTCTGATAAGCTAATATCATGTCTCCAACATCTTTTATTGAATAATTATTCACTATAGCCTCCAAAACTGAAACATTGAGAATGGAACACTCTTTTTCGATCACTCGCATGACAGCATCAAATGTTTCTGCTTGGTCCAATTGATTCTCTAAATGAGAGCGACATCGTCTAACATAGGTCTTCAAATCATCAATGGATGGTATCGCTGCTTTGATGAGAGGAACGATACTGTGAATAAGATTACCACGCAAAGTAGCCATTCTATCAAACTCAGCTTCATAGCCAGGATGAACTATGACCTCTACTACACCTATAATATAGTGTAATGACATTGAATTGGGTATAATTAATGTTACTAACCTTGTGGAGTAGCATCAGTATTGGTAGTTACTTGAGTCTCACTACTACTATCTTGTAATTGTCCAGATCCTGTATTTATTATAATAGTCAATGTACAAGTATAGGTTATACAACAAGGTTGAGGCTTCCATGGGATTTACATGTACCAAGGGAACCAATAAATGTACCAATAATCCCATAGAAATTGAAACCAAGGTGAATAACAGACTTCTGCCATGCCAAACTAGTCAGACAAACACAAACAGGCTTCATTATGTTGCCAAAAATAAAGGGCAATATACACGGGCAACTTAAGGTTATACGTTAAGACAGGAAGTGCTGTATAAACCAATAGCCACCATTTAAGTAAGGTAGGATTAGAAAAATTTCTATTCTTACCTTACCTAATAGGCTGCAATTGGTTTATATAGCACTTCCTGTCTAATCATATTCTGCAAAATTGTACAGTTATTTTACAACAATGAGCAATATAATGAATAAGCTTTAATGATCGCTAAAGAATTTTGAATGACATAGGTACATCACCCAATAAGTTGTAATTGTAAAAAATTTAAGTTGAATAGTTTAAGTAAAGGTTATACAACAAGGTGAAGGTATCTATGGCATTGATTGATCATACCAAGAGCAAGCAATCTGATAAATGAATGTATATATGTTATATTATATCATTACTTGAAGATGTTGAAGTACTTGCTTGTTGACAAGATGGCATAACTGTTACTGCCGAAGGATATGACTTTTCTATTGTATTAGAATATAAATAAGTTAAGTGCATTTATAAAACTTTTCATTTACCATATTCCATTATTATATCATTAGCTAAAGACACTGCTTCCTTTGATTTCATTAGAATGCTTGTCAGAGTACATAACTTGCTATGATTTTTAGCTACAGCACTTAATATTAGTAACATTGGATCTCCTACCAATGAACAACCGCAACTCTTCACTTCTGTTAATGTATCCTTAGATATCAATCCCTCTGTATGTAAGAGATCAACTGATTCCTCAGTAAGAACAACTTGAGCCAGGGGCGGATCTAGGATTGAATTTTTGGGGGGCCATAATGATATGGGTGGGGTACTTAGTGGGTGTG